GTGAACCTAATTATTGCACCTTTGAGAAAGTGCTAAAAAAAAAAAAATGTCCATATACATGAAGCTTAAAACAGGTTGAAGCTCTTTATCTGTAAGGCTGGCCAGAATAGGGATGAGAAGCACAGTGTGACAGAAGTTCATATGTTGTGAGGGCTGGTGAGTGAATACTGAGTGTTCTTCAGGAAAACTGACTGAGATATAAGTTTAACTATGATAAACAAATCCATGTGGTTTATTTGGTAATATAAGCAAATTCTATATAACCTTTTTGTGGGTGTTGGAAAGAGGTGTTTTTACAAAAGTAATCACAACTAGGTTTTAGTTATCCACATTTACCTAAATTAATCCACATGTTAGAAATATAGTGTATCAAATCCCTCAAAGAGACATTAGCTCTACTTTGTAGCATTTTTCAGTTTTCAGTCATTATTTCCTCCTGAATTAGAATCAGTGTTGTATTGTAAATTCTAATTTTATACAGATGAACAACGGTTGAATTTACTTTTTTCCAAGGCAAACCATTTATCAGAAAAATAAAATAGGTTAAGGTTGCACATTTCTAAAGCTAAACCAAGACATTTAAAAAAATAATTCAAAACCTTGAATAAGCCTATCAATCAGAGAAAAGATCCTGTTCGCAGAAAGAGATTACAAGATGAATTCATAAAGTTTGGAACCTTTCAAAAAGATCAGGAACAGAATAACGAACATAATAAACTGCAGCACACACACATATCGATATTTATCTCTCTTTCATTTTTTTTTTGGTGTCCAGCAACACCATTGAATAGGCAGTTTCTGTAGCATCAGATAACAGGGATGAAAGTTTTGTAGTACTTAGATGCAGCCAGCAGATGGCATAAAATAACAATATTAAAATCCAGAAACGGACTCCAATGTGCAAGTTGGACATGTACACTTAAGGCTCTTATTCATTAATTGATGATTATGTAGTTATGTTAATACTCCCAATACTCATCTCACAATGTTCTATTAGCATGAGTCCCCCTACACAATAAAATACGTGAGGATCACCATATTATAATTATAATACTGAACGGCCTAATAAAAACATACATCACCAGACCCAAGGGTTCAGCTCTGGAGGGTCTGCTTTACTTTTAGCATCTGTCGCCGAGCTCATTTAAGAAGAATGAACTGTTGTTGCCTTTCTGGCATCACTGTTATGAAAACCTAAAACTCTTTAAGGCAGACCAGCTGCTGCTGGGGTGACCGATGCTTAAAAAAAAAATATATGGAAACTTTCAAATTTAGATTTTCATACTTTAACAGTGGGATTTATCTATTTCGTTTGTTTTTTCATAATCTCAACATTTACCATCCTGGGGGAAAAAAAAGAAATTGTCATCTTTAAGCACTCAATTGATTACAGAGTGAGAGATGCTGGGTGCATCCTGAACAGACTGCCTACCTATCTCAGGTTTTTTTCACAGAGATCAGATACCCAAGAGAACTAAAGATTTACCACGATCCTCAAATCATCCTGCTAACCCTTATAATTCTGCAGGATCTTTCTAACATTTTAAACAACTCTTATTAACTTTGTTAAATGTGGACTGGGATAATATAAATTACATGCAGATTTTAAGCACAGCTTTCCAACTGTGAAAGCTTTAAAAAAAGGATTCAAATCAGAGCATCAATGTTTAGTTCCAATATTAAACCAAACTAATGAGAAACCATGATTTTAAGTTGACTTTTGGCCCAACACTGGTGGAGGATAAAGCTGTACAAATATGCAGTTAGAATATCCAGATCCATCTAGACCAGAGAAGTTGCTTGTGATGTTTTTGGTTTAGGAGTGGCCTTATGTGTCAGTAATAGCCCATATGATGGATGCAGCTTCTCAATTATCCCAGATCTCTTCGAAAAAGAAAAAAATGAAGGCAAAACCCAATCCAGGCAGCAGCTATTCCTGCTGCTGGTGCTCATCGCTCCACACTTTTTCCTTCCACTCAATTTTCCAAATATTATGCTTGGATAAAGCAGACTTTGAACACCCATCTCGCAACAATGGCTTTTGGATGCACCAATAATGAACATAGCTGGATTGTTTACTTTGATTGCGTTGGGCTTTACATTTCATATTTTCAAAAATATCCTTTTTGTTGACGTTATGAGAATGGAAATGTCTTAATCTGCTTTTTTTTTATTCATTGTAAATGAAAATTTGTCTGATAGTTTTTTTTTCCCTAAAATGAACGCTTTTTAGATAATCTTTCATGTCAGTTTAGGCGTTTCTAAACAAATCACAGGACATCAAACATGTTTTCATAGATTTTTCAACTTTTATATTGTTAAAAACAAACAAAAAATAACAGATTAAATAAAATTTACAGTAGACATATGCAATCATTGTGCACTTTAACTACTTCTTCTGATACGTTCTGCACGGCTGTCAACGAAAAACGCAAACACAATGGGGACGTCGGGGTGGAGCTGGAGGGCTGGGCAGGGCAGTCATAGGGAGAGAGAGGAAGAGGACTGAAGAAGTGAGGTAGAGGAGCAGGGATGAAGAAGGAAGCAGTAAAGGAGAAAGGAAGGCCTAAACTTCGTCACTCGGGAACAAAAGAAAAATCACTGAATATATAGATTTCTTTAATTCCTTACATCAATTATATAAATATATTGAACCCTCAAAAAAAAGGAAAACTTCTGAGAAAGAAAAAACAGCGCAATACTGAAACCCACAACAGCAGTAAGGCAAACAGAAAGCGAGAGAGGAGAGCGCAGTGACACTACATGAGAGGAACAGATAAGCAGAGAAAGATAGGAGGAAGTATGAGAGATGGCAGCTGGGGAGAGCAGAAAGGGTGCGCAACTGTGCGTATGAAAATTTATAAATATGTACGATTTGGAGACAATCTGTCAGCAGAGAGGCAGGAGAGAAGCTGCAGCAGAAACGGAGGGATGGAGGAGGAGGAGAAAAGGTTTGACTGAGATCGACTGTCCAGTGTGTTTTTGTGATGTGCTACGTGACCCTGTTGCCTGCACTGTGTTTCTTTGCGTCTTTCGGTCTGTGTGTCTGCGCAGTGTCGTGAGTGTTCTCGTGTCATGGCAGCACACGTTCCACAGCAACAGTGAAACACATGCTCGCGTGTCTTGTGTGCTCTTCTGCTTTATAAATACAAAACAACAAAAACCAATGAATAAAAACAAACAACAAAAAATCTGATTTGCAACCAAACACCAGCCACCTCATGATTCACACCTTCTTCCCTTTTATACATTTGACACATCATGAAACTCAAGTTTGTTTTTTTCCATTTTGATTTTAAATTGTACACTACCAGCAGCCCCCCCCTCAGTTGTCCTTCCTTTTTCACCAAAAGTCTCTTTCTGTGTCTTTCCTCCATGTCTCCTGTCCTCTCACTGAGAGCTGGCTCTCTCCAGCACACGCAGGTCATAGTTCTTTTTGGCGGCCCGAAGTTTGAAGAGGCTGGCTCCGCTGTTGTTGAGTTTGAAGGAAGCACTCTGGGCAGCCATGGTGGTGGGGAACACTGCAACTACTGTGTAGTGGTGCGCTGGATCGTGGCCATCCCCCTTCCCTCCCCCGGCTCCCATGCCGACACCAGACATCGAGCTGGCTCCGGCACAGGGGCCGCAGCCACCCGCTACTCCTCGGCCTCCCTGGGGTTCCTTTAGCCACTGGATTTTAGCGCCACACATCGACAGCTGGTTGAAAAGCTTTTCGGCCTCTGGACGCGAAATCCCCTCCGGCAGGTCTGTTACCTCGAGGACTCGACTCACAACTGGACAAGAACGAAACAAACACAGTGAGCACTTTTTTTTAAAGCTAAGAAGAAGAAAAAAAGATTAATTAGGTTGAGAAAGTTGAATTAAACTGTGGTTTTAGTTCTGGTATGACCTTAGTGCTTTCATAGCTAGATGACCTAATTTTAGTGCTTTTCTTTTCATTGTTAGTTTCCCTTTAAAGCCAACGAGGACAGAAAATGTCCTTAATTACAACAAAATCTCAGCCTTGGCTGTTGAAAGGATTTCAGATGCAGACATTGCATCATGGATAAACAAGTATGAACTAGAGAAAATTCAGATTAACTTCTGTGATGCAGAGATGTAACTGTTTTGAGGCCCTGAGCATTGCTGATTACAGATCCCAACTACTTCTAAGAGATAATCGAATGCTGTTTTTAGACATTCGCATAAAAATAGGTGGACCTCCTAATAGTGGGAAGGAGATATTAGTCAGACAAAAACCTTTGGATTATCTACTGGCACACTCAGAAAACAAATAGATAACCTGGTCAGTTTGTTGTCTTTTGAACATCAAAATAAAATAAAGTTTTCTCTTAAAGATGACCTTGAGGATCCGTGTTTTTATTTTGCACTGATGTAATTGGATCATTAATCTGGGACTCAATGCATTGTTCTACCCCACTATCACAGGATCAGATGATTGGTGTCCAGATCCTCCCTTCATCTAGCATCAATGTTACAGGAAAGATTTTAGCATGTTGTGCCACACATGCTAAACATTGGCTCCTTCCATGTCGCTCTTCATTTTGCAGCTTCATTATTATTAAAGATTACATCATGGAAGATAAAATACCAAATTGCTGACATGAAACTTATGGTTTACAAAATAGATAGCTATATATCTTATTTATGAAGTTTCCAACTTACCAACATCTGTGGTGCCAAGGTCTGTTGATGCGGATTTAAGTGTTTGCTTCTTTCCTCGTGTTCCATGTTTGATTACTCCTTGACTCTAGACAGAGCAACAGATTTCCGTGGAGTCAATAATGCTTTGCAATAACCATATATAACACCAGAGGGCAGTATAGGCAAGTAGGTAAAAGCCAAAAAACCCTGCGGTTTTCTAAAGAAAGTTCTTAAACATTGGTGTTCTACTTGATTAGACCCTTTCCCTGGTTCATTCCCCGAGATACTGGAGATACTGAGAAGGTAACCACAATATAGATAAGCTGTGTTGAGGTGGTAAGAAACCAGAAACAAGCAGGACATTGGTCCCTGAGAAGTAAAGATGGACACCTCTGCCTTGCCCTGAGATCAGTCACAGCCCATTAATAAGGTGCAGAAAGAGGTGAGGCCTGCTAGTAGAGACAGGCTGCTCAGTTAGATCAGGGACAATTTTTATAGTGCCTGCTTTTAAAAGTAAAACACATTCCCTGTCAACATCTTTTCTCTCCACAGTTTTAACTGTCATTTTTGTGATAGCAACATAGTTTATTAAAATAACCAGTTATTATAGGATTTTTTTCCCCAATAAAGTCTCTAAATTTAGAACATTGGTTTCACCTTTAATTGTCAAGATATCAAAACCACCCGGTCACATCAGGCTCTCCTAAATCTGTAACCATCCTGACCAATGGTTCATGGAAGGCTGACTTTGATGATTTAAATAACAACATTTATCAACATCAAACTTTATAAGATGGACTTTAGAGGCTGGCCTTTACTGACCTGGTGGGAGTTATAGGAGGACTGTCCATGCATTAGGGGTGGAGGGCACAGGCTGTACTGGAGGGGCTGCCCCAACAAAGAGTATCGACCATCACCTGAAAAGCAGAAAACACACATTTAAATCCAAACAATCAAGTGTTAATCTATGATGTGGAGAAACACTGGAAAAACAGCTGCTCAGTGAAGCTTAGGGATAAGTCAAAGACAACAGATTTTTTTTTCTGTGTGTATATATATATATATATATACTGGAAAAACAGCTGCTCAGTGAAGCTTAGGGATAAGTCAAAGACAACAGATTTTTTTTTCTGTGTGTATATATATATATATATATATATATATATATATATATATATATATATATATATATATATATATATATATTTTATTTTTTTGTAAGTACAACAGGTTATAATAAAATATCTGATAGTGTTTACTTTTGTTAAATCCTGGGAGTAGCTGATGATAAAACAATATTTTATATTTACCTTCAGCTTTGGAAGAGGTCTAAAAAAAGCATGAAATTAAATATTCAACTTATAAGCAGGAAACACAGCACTAGCTATTTTTTTTATCTCCTTGTTTAGGGTGGGGCAACACTTGCAGAGTATCTGACAGTGCAAAGTGCATTACTGGTGGCATTCAAAGATAAAGTTTTTTTTTTCCTCACTCTTGTTCTTTTGACATTTTGTCCAGGGACATCGGGGTCTGGATTGATGTGGATTTATTTATTTAAACCTTTGTGTTTACCTTGAGCTGGTCCTCCTGGCCGTGGAAACTGGGAGATGAGGGGTAGTGGTCCAAGGCCTGGGCATACACTGTTGACACTCCCGGAGGGAGACGGAGTGGGAGACTGAGTGGGAGAGGCAAGGGGACTCGTCAGCTGAGTGCTGGCCTACATAAAAAAATAAGGATTAGGATAATATGATTCATTTTTAAGTCAAAAGTCTCATTTCATAGCATTTAATTCAATGTAGAAGGTACAGCTTAGAACCCAGAAGTAGCTAAAACAGTAAAGCTTTGTAATAACACCAGTAGAAGACTGAAGATAAACAACAATAATAGGCTATTGAAATAATAAATAGCATCATGCTTTTGTTCACCTGTGGAGTGTTGTCAGGTTTGTAGAGGTCTCCCGGCTTGCTGGCCCTCTGCTCTATACTGTAGTACTTGCAAGGGTTCCACTGAACCAGAGGAGGATTCTGGGAAGGCTGAGGTCCATTGGGAACACTGAGCTGCATGACCATCACCCCAGGCCCAGGTGGAGCCACTCCTGAGAGAGAAAAACAGCAAACATATAAAGTAAAAACAGATTTATTTAGAAGGTATTAGACAGAGAGACACATTGATCTGCATGTAGCCCTGTTGAGTCAAAAAATAGTTTGATCTAGCAAACATGTAGCATTAAACTACTCAATGGAACAATATTCTTCGTAACAAGAAATCAAAAGTAACACCCAAACTTTATATTTCTTAATTCTGCATTTATGGAACTTTCTAAACACAATTTTGTAATTTTTTATGTCAAAAAATTTGCAAAAAATTTTGTCTGTACAAGCAGGAAAAACTTGTTGCTTAACTGTCACAGACACCTCCTGTACCCTCACCACAGACGGGCTGACCTCTAGGTAAAACAAAGCTACGTACTATACAATGACCTGTTTAAAGGGATTGGAACAAGGTTTCAGGCATTTCATTGCTCTTTAAATTGCTTTTATATAATTCATTTTTTTATTCAATATCAGATCTGGATTAAACTCCTGAGTTTTAAGTTTTTAAATAAGCAAAAAAAAGCAAAAATGTTTAAATACATGTTGAACAAAATAAATGAATCGCCACATTATAGTTGATGTCTTATTTTTTTCCTGTGATCCAAAGAATTATCCGTGACTCAAAACCGTGATGTTTCTCTTTTTTTTTTTCTTTTTTTTTTTTAAGACATTTTCACTTGTTATGTTGATCACTTTCCCTCTGTGGTTTGTTTTTGTGAGTACTGCACCTACAGCTGTGTGGAATATAAACATGTACAGCATTTCTATGGGCTCGTGCACATTGCAATCAGACCTGCAGCTAAAAACAGGAACTGGAGGCCCTTCACACAAACTCAATAATTGGCTAGAACACATCATCTTTCAGATCAGTCTTGATTTGAGCTGAGACATTCAGAAAGCAGGGTTAGATGGATCCATCCTACCTGGTATCAGTGGCTTAGGATGCTTTTTTTGGTACTGTAGAGTACTATGCACAAAGGGTTCCCACACCTTGGTTGACATCCAACTCAAGGACCATTTAAGGACTTTCTAGCACAAACTTCTACACACTTAGGGACCACATGCGGCAGAATTTACCTACTGCTGAAAGTTATTACCACCGCCAAGGAGGTTATGGTTACAGGAGAGTTTGTGTGTTTATCCATCTGTGTCCACGATAACTTATTTAAATGAAATTATTATCTGAGGTGTCCCTCATGCCAAGGAACAATTCGATACATTTTGGTGATGATCCAGATCATAGTCTGCATTCAGGAACTTTTTTTAACGATTCCCTGAAATTGTGAGATAGGGATTTTTGGTGACACAAGCAGTTCCCCACTAAACCAGAGGGTGGCAGCAGTGACTATTTACAGCCTCAGAATCTCACTCAAAAACTCTGGAGGAATTTTACTGAAAACAAAAACACAGGAAAAGGGAACGTTGATGTTCTTTTTAGCAGGATCAATTGAAAAATTATGAATGGATTTCATGGAAATCATGCCAAGGAACAATTAATTTAAATGTGGTAATGATCCAGATCATGTGAGAGATTTAGCAATAGGGGCCACAATTTGGGGCAAAAGCTGCTCGGTGAATGTCTGCTCTCTCCGAGTGCTTTTCTAGTTCTTAAATAAGTTCAAGGCAAAGCATATTCAATAAAAGAAACTAAATGACATTAACGCTTATTGGAATAAAAAAAATAAATGTGTTTGAATGTATATTCATATCAATAATATTCATAGTCTCCATACATTCATATTTTCAGTAATGGTGAAATATTCATATACTCCCTAAAGCCATCTAGTGTTGATTTAATAAAAAACTTCAAGTCTACATGTCTTACGACTGTAACAAAGCAAACGTTAAAATGATTATCTTAACACATTAATGCCCCGTGAATCAGACCTGTTTATGCTAGGTAGTCCAATGTCTCTTTTTCACTGGCTCCATTTGGCCTGGCTCTACATCACCCTGCCAACTTTTCAATTGCTGCTTTTTTTAGTACCAATACTGGCTTTTTTACTCATCTCTGCGATATTCATATTAGAGTGTATATTAGTATATTAGAGTGTCATAGTCTGCCGACAGAACGGGTCAAGTACTGCCTGGCATGAGACATTAGCGTGACAATGACTTGGCACAATATTTACTTCAGTTTTGACCAGGGCCACAAAAAAAACCCCAAAAGGTGTTCAGTTTGTTTTCTTCAAACATTGCCTCTTTCAAGGACATTTATTTACAGCTTTACAGCACAAACCTGATCACCCCTGACTGAACTTTTGCCGCATTACCTTTCACCCAGTTTTATAGAACACAGGTGTTTTCTATCATTATCTGATAGGTTATAACTTTTGTTGCATCTCTGTGAGTAAATCTCAAACCAGATATGATCTCAAATGACTAAAAGGTCAAAATAAGTTACTCAAATATTACATCATTTAATTTTCCTGTTAAAATAAAAAGTTTTTTGGTAACAATATTTAAATATATAGAACTTTTTACTAATTTAAACTACTTATTGATGAAGGTCTTACCTGAATATTGCTGTTGCAATGGTTGAGGGTTACAGGGAGACGGTGACTGTGTGATCTGAAACTGCTCTGAGCTGGGGGGCTGCAGATAACCTACCGACGGGCTGCAGAACAAATAAAAAAGAAGATAAAGGTTAGTTTTATTATGTAAATTATATAAAGAAAAACTGTCTACAGTAATCATTTCAAAACAGATTACATGTTTACCAGTTTTCTCAAACATAATATAAAGGTAAGTTCACATGTGAGGTCAAATGGCAAACATTGCAACTGCAGCCTTGTACCTTGTGCTATTTTGCTGTGTGGGTGTGATAACACTGTAGTAGACAGGCATAGGCCCCTGGACAGACTGGCTGACTGGCACCATCACCTGCTGCTGATACTGCTGCTGCACCACCTGCTGATTTTCATTTGCCACTGGCACCTAAAACAAGCAAATTATTATAGCTTATGGTTTGCAAAGGTCAAAGTTAGACAAAAAAATATTGTTTAGGTTTAAATTTCAGATTTCCATGTTAAATTATTACAATCCATCAAATATTAAACAAAATGACAGATTCCTTAATGTTTCATTCAGTTGCAAACATATTTCCACGTGTTGAACAAATTTATGTTAAGGTTTCAGTGAAGTAGAACAACTATTTTTTTTTTTTACCACATTTCTATGGTTGCTTTATCATTAGTGACATAGGTAGCTTAAGACAGCACAAACCTGATATGATGGCATCTGTGGGTACTGAACCATTATGCTTTGCATCTGGGCTCCAATACCCGTCCTTTGAGAATTAAGCAGACCAGGATTTGGAGACTGCTGCACTCCCATCATGTTTTGATAGCTTGGTTGCTGGCTTGGCATCATGGTCTGAAGACCTGATTATAACACAAAAGAGAAGAAAAACAAATGATTTAGAAATATTTTTTGTATTTTAAAAGGGGGTATTTTTAGAGAAGCAGAATCATTTGTTCCAAAATAACTCAAAGTAATTGATTGTCATTGGACCAACCATGTTTTAAATTAATTCTAAAAAGTTAAACCCTAAGTTTTATCAAATCTATGCGTGTTTGCAATCAAAACCCAAAGAAGAGCTACAGTTTTTTTGCAAGTTCTTGCTGACCTCAGTGCCCATTAGTATTGGCAGAGTTCCCTTTTAACTCAAAGTCCATTCTAGCTGTCTACATAGTTTATTTCTCCTAAATCTTATCTGTTAAAACCGCCTACCTTAGAAATCCATGGATCAAATAGTTAAATGCTAATGCTAGCAATATTTTTCTTAAAATATACAGTTTGTGTATCGATCTGTGCCAGGTTGACCTGACTGAATAATGCAGGGAAAAGATTGTTCAAACTAGACCTTTTATCTGGTTGACTCAGTAGGTCTGAGTCAGCATTAGCAAATGATAAGTGAAAGAAAAGGAGTCCATTTTATTTCTATTTGGGTCTCAAGTACATGATTTATAAAATAAGGTTTAACTAAAGCTTATCATTTTTATGAATAAATCACAGGATCACATCTTAGTAACAGAAAAGTAACTAAACTCTCTGTACTGTAGAGGAAAGACGAGTAAAAGTAAATTTATATAAATTTATATTTAGTCCCTCGTTGGGACAAAATGTCCCTCCTTTCCCCGAAACGGGTTCAATGGGAACAGGTCTAGATTAATAATGAGTAAAACTAGACCTAGAGTGATACACATTGTCAGTCTTTTCTATGACTTTATCAAGCAAAAATTGAATAAATGTGTTGCCATCTGCTTCAGAGTGCACATTTATAGGTACAACTGATTAGACCCCCTGTAGAGACACGAGGGCCCAATAACCTCATTTGCAATGATCGAATCAGGAGTCCATGAAGAAACAACTTCTGATACCTGTGGTGCTTAGCTAGTGAAGTTATAGAACAAATTTCATATGCATAATAACTGGAACTTCACTAGAAATATGTTTCCAGGCAAATTACAGAGGCTGAATGTGTCATATCAGATACATTATTTGAAATGATAAAGCTATGCATGCTTCCCCTAAGAACACTGCAGTAGCTTTCTCAGCCATGTTACTCCACTTTGAAACAGCCTATTAAGTCATAAACTCCAGCTGTGATGAGAGATCTTTCACTGTCAGGAAAAGGGGGAATAGAGAAGAAGAAATTTAGAGACTGCAGCATCTAGAACGTCTTGGCAAGCTTTAACACTGATGAAATGTAGCGTAGTATTCTATTGCCTTTGAAGCTAAATAAGTTTTATGTCTATGAATGGCTTTTATTTAAGTAACTTTGGTAAAGTGTGACATTATTTCTGCCGACGCCTATTCTTAAATGGCTCTAATTAGTATATTGTACAAAAGGCTGATTGGGGATTGACCGATAGCTGATAACAGTGAGGTTCATCAGAATGTACTGACCTGACTGCTGACTGGGCGGAGGCATGGGTTGTGTGCGTTGGGGTTGGTAAGACACCTGGTGGGATATCGGTTGGGACACACGGTACTGCTGCCCTGAATTTGGATACTGACCAGCAGGGTAGTAGGATACCTGTATCTAAAGGAGGAAATACATAAAAAAATAAACACAGGGTGGAGGCATAAATCTGAGTGAAGAAAACATGAAACCTCACACAAGAAAAGAAAATGTCCTAAACCATAGCAAAAACCTACAAGTTGTACAAATATTATTTACATATTATTAGGATTTTTAAATTTTACTTGAGATAACTTGAATCAAAGAGATGAGCAAGCACTGTTGTGAAAACCACCATCAATATTAAAACTCTCATTAAATCTCCCATATTAGATTTTGGCCACAGAGGAGCCGACAGAAATTAGCTGGGAGATGTATCCCCCTTTGAAGTTGCCATGGCAAAATAACTAATTGTTGCTTGCTACACTCTGCAAAAGCAGAGGGACAAGAGCACAACAACTCAAACAAGGTCCTTTAAAACAAACCAGCGTTAAACTTACAACGCTTCTCAGAAATAAAGCTATCAAACATATAAAATGAGAGAACAATATTGAGTTGTAAGTAGAAGTCTGAATCAGTTATTTAAATTAGGTTGCATGTTTTTAAATAAGATGACAATTAAAAATTACAATAACTAATAAATCAACATGTCCAGCAGTTTAAAGGTTTTCAAATATTCATGTGAATTTATCGTTCTAATGATAAATAAAAATTCTTATTTTGATAAGGAATCTACGTTTATCAATGTCAACAATGCGATGAAAGCCCACCACTAACCACGACATACGGGAGATATGGGATGTGAAACATTAAGGACAGTCAAAAGGAATAACATAGAGAAGAAACATAGCAATAACTAATTACTGTAAAAAAATAAAAATAAAAAATAGCATCTACTATTATAAACTGATCCCCACCTATAAACTATACAAACTACAGTCTTGTATATACATCCAAATCCACCTTCCCATGAAAACCTGCACAATATTCCCATCCATACTGCAAATCACACTGATGGGATTTCTTCAGTAATAAACTGTAACTAATAAAACTATCCAACCTGCAGCTGTGGAGAAACTGTATTTACTTAAGGGGGATTTTCATGTTATCTGTCCATGTTTTGTTTTTCTTCTTCTCTTTATCTGTAATGAAGACTATTTACATTACCAATGGTCTTTTACATCAAACTACTTATGAACGGACTATGAACAAACTATTGAACGGATTTTCAACACATAGTTGAAGACATATTATTCTCAACTACGAATTATTTTAAAATACTGGTGTTAGGAGCTACACTCAATTAGACAATCTTCTGCTGGGTTAAAAAGACAGATCAGTTTGGATGTGTTCGACTACGTTAAAAAAAAGTCTGTTAAATGCAACATACCTGTTGAGGTGGAGGGGGCTGGATGTAGCCTTGTGGAGGTGGTGGAGCCTGTATGACAGGCTGGGATGGCGGTGGTGGTGGAGGTGGAGGATGAGCATGTCCAGTAGGGGGCTGGTAGCCAGATGGAGGCGGCAAAGGCTGGCCTGTTGTAGCCATGATGTAGCTAGGCTGATGTTGCGGATGCTGCGATAGCACGGTGGGTGGGGGCGGGTACATGGTGGGAGGCTCAGGGTTCTCACTGGAGCCCTGTCGACTCAGTGTCATCTGTGTGAACTGCGTTGTTAGCTCATCTCCCTGTGTAGAATGAGAATGATTGGAATAGTGGGTTTCAATTTATGACAATTACTATTTAAGAAAAACATTAAAAACTGACATGAAAATAAGACTATGATAATAAGACCTAACAAAAATTGGAGCTGAATGAAATTGGTGTCAAAAGAACATGATTTTACGGAAACCTACTTTTTAGAAAATACTCAAATAACTTACCGGTAAGTGTTTAAACAAGAGTTACTTCTATATAAAACCAAACTAAGTTACCGAAAAGTCTGCCTAATGTGGGTGATTGACATAATTCATTGTATTTTGCCATAAGTAAAAACCTGACTGGTATTATAAGCTTTAGGCATGAGCAGTTATTCGCACTGCAAGTTTGAGACAATAACCATTAAAATAATTCTATGTGGAACCGAGTTTCAGAATAAATAATGTGAGGTCATGTTAGGACACCATAAGTCTCAATACTTCACTGTCATTTGCAGGGAGAATGCTCAGCTCAGCTTTTCTCCACAGATAAAAAAAAAAAAAAAAAAAAAAAAAAACAAGAATCAATAAACTTTGTTCCAGACAGAAGCATTGCTTTTTTTTTTTATAAGCCTTTTTCAGATATATTTTCCTTTTGTTAGAAAGTGTTCTTCCTTTAAGAAAAACTGAATTCGACTTGTCAAAGTTTGTAGTGTGGAAAGAGAGCTTTTTTTTTTTTTACTGCGGTTAAAAATAACCATCCAATGTTAGTAAAAGCATATAAAAAAAGCAGAACATGAGTTTTTAGTAGGACATCCTTTAATGTTTGAAATGAAGTTATTAGAGGCATCAGTACCATTGTGTACTGCTGGGGAGGAGAAACTGGCAGGAGAACCTGGGGGCAGGAAGGACTGGAGTAGGAGACAGGCTGAGAGGGCTGCAGAGACGCCACCGGCTAAACGCACCAGAGAAAGACAGAGGGAGGGCAAGTATAGAAGCAGAGCATATAGAAAGGCAAAGATAGAGGGAGCAGAGACAGATGTAAAGAAAGGAAGGAAGGAAAAGAAATAATTATGACGACAGGAAAATGAGGGTTAGACCACAATGGTAAAGTTTTAATGATTAGAAATGAGAGAAATGGAAACTAAAATCATTTTTATTATGCAATATAACCAGCACATAAAATGACTGTTTAAAATACAGAGGGAAAGAAGAAATCAAAGAAAATGTCTGTGGTTGTGTCTTGTTAAATTCACCATTAAACTGCATTTGATCAAACTTCAGTATATGCTATCAGGATTACCTATTTTGTTTCTCTCCAATAATACAGTACAGACATTTAGGTTGTAAATGATACCAAGATAACCTCCAACCACTTCATATTAATTCTATTTCTTCTTTGTTTTTAAATTCTATCAAGGTGATTTACCTGAGCAATCATGTGGTTCCCCATGGGGTGCTGCTGTGGGGTGGGTAGCAGAGCAGTCTGTGGGGGAGCCGGGCCCTGTGGCTGCTGTGGCGGCTGAGATGGGCAGGGTAGGAGGCTACGGCTGGACTGGGACACTGAGGGTGGGGGACAAACATCAGGACTGACTAAGGGCAAGCCTAGTAAGGAACAGGAAGACAAAAACAAGAAATCTACAGCATTTTATTTTCCAAATAATGACCATCAATACATTTACAAAAAGAGTATGATTTCACAAAAATCACAACTTTCAATGTCCTAACTTATACACAACAACCTGCAGGCAATCAAATATGTTTGATTAATTTCTAAGAGAAAATAAATCTAGTTTTCCACTCTTAACTCTTCTGTATCCTTTTCAGGAAATTGTTATTAAAATTGTTACCAAAAATGGAAAAGTACAAGATCAAACTAGATAAAAAAATCCCTCCCATCCGGCATTAGCTGTTCTGAAAGATGAGATATTTTAAAAGCTTTACATGCAAAACACATAATGCAGAAAATACCAATGTAATCAACCAATTAAACCATTAAAAGTTCAAATGACTGCTATGATAGATCTGAAATACATTAAATCAATCTCACTATGTCATTATGGTTTAGATTCAGCAGATCCAGAAATTTGGACAGCGTTTTATTTAACAAAACATTCGATGAGCTTACCATACGATAGCCTATTCTTAAAAAAGGGTGACCACTACAGTAGATGTTGCATATTGCAGTTTATAGAATGTGTTTTGTCATTAACTTGAAAACATCCAGGTAATAAACAGTGCTTGAATGGAGTGCACACAGACTGGCGGATGGTCCTACAGTGTATCTAAAAATAGACTGCATTGAAAAAACAAAGCAGATAGAATAAGTCAGAAACTAACTGATTGTGGCCCGAATCAACCAGTCTAATTATTTCAATTAAATTGATAGATATAAAGAAATTCTATTTAGTTGAAAAGTCATATGCAAATCATACCTAGAGGACTAGTACATGCGGGACCCAAATAATATTTTTTAATGGAGCAAATAATTTATTACTTTCCTATGCCACTTGATAAAAAAAACACTTTTATAAAAATTTTAACTCCTAAAAAAAAAACAGATTCAAATCTGGTCAGTTGCTTTTTGAAAGCTTTGCCAAGATTCAATAGTTTTCTACTTTAAGAAGTCTCCACAGTTACATTTGCCTATATGGTTAAACCTAAAAGCGGAAGTTTGTTTTCATACAGTACTCACACCGTTAAGTTCTACCGTCAAATATTGTTTTACTCAGAGCTCATACACTTAGACAGAAGATGTTGTTTATTCAATATTGAGGGTGTAGCAATCACTTCTCCATCTTAAAAACATACAAATAATTTTCAAGAAAAGGTTGCCATGCAGTCAGTCAGAGCAGATAGTGGCCTGCTTACTTTTGTATGTGGTATTTTGGCATCCTTACCTGCAGCTGTAACAATACAACTTTGTGATTTCTTTCTATATAAAAACTTAATTCAATCTATAGATGCCTTAACTGTAATGAGTTATAGGAGTTTAGCTTTAGTCCTTACCAGAGCGAGAGCCTTTGCCGCTTCCCTGTGATCCTTTGTTGCTGCCAAGGCTGTCCCCTCTGGTGAGGATGGAAATGCCAGAGAAGCTGCTGGCCTTAGTCACAGGTGGCCGGAGGGTTCGGTTAGAACTGTCCGAGTCCGTACTGCTCCAGGGTCGGGGATCCAGGCACTTCATATCACTGTCTGTGCTGCTTTGACGGCTGCTTGATGCCCGGCTAGAGCTCTCGCGATTCCCTCTATAAAACAGTAACACAAGAGTGAAGATATTACAATGACCACAGTGAAATAGAGAGAATGGAGTAAACTTCTCAAGTGCAAGAAGTTAACAATAGACAGTCAGAAGGGAGTCACCATGTACAGAGGCACCTAAAATTATTCAACCCCTGCAACAAACTATTTTTTTTGTCCTAAATGCCAAAGCTTTTCAATAATAATAAGCTTTCTAGTATGTTACATTATCTTTCACAAGCCTAGGTGGACTCTTAAAAAGTGCTGGGATCACTTTTTGAAGGTCCAAAGATCCCAAAGTTTCAGTTTCCTTATAGACAGCAAAATATCCCAGGGTTTTCTGCTACTTTAATGAATCCATCTTGACTCCATACGCTGCACAGAAGAAGCAAAACATTTCCAGAGTCTAACTTGGCCAATTCTATATGCTATAATGTAAACATAGTCTTCTTCTCCTCCTATACTACATCATTCCTCTTTCAGACATGCCATAATCCATAAGGATTAAAAAAAATAGGTTTAAGACACCCTACCACTGAACAGAAACCTTAAAATCCTGAGGATGAGTTGTAAGTTGTAAGGAAATTTTAGCTTGATCTTTTGTTGTGCTTTTTGGTCAGCAGAGGTGCAAATGCTGCAGTTTAGGCACCAAGCCCTTTAGCATTTGGTGCACCAAACCGGAAACTTCGTGTTCTTCAACATGAAGCTGACATAGAGACTGTAATTTGAACTTTTAGGAAATATGCTTTCCTGCAACTTTTCAAAAAACATTTAGTGATGGGATATTGGGGGGTTAACACTTCATAGTCATTTCAAGTAGAATTTAGAGCTCAGTTCTTATAAAATCCTTGTGATATTAGTCCATGTAGTGACATTGTCTGTGTAGTGGTAATGCTAACATCTGGAAATGTCAGCATTTGGAAATAAAACACATTTTTAGGGGTTGAATAATATTACATGCTACTGTCAGTAGGTCAAAGGAGAGATGGGCTATATGTAACAAGGATTTTTTGCTAATTTAGAAGTTGAAACAAAGTGGAGGTAGACATAAAGAAGGGGCAGGTACAGTAGAGTAAGGTGGTTGGGAAGGATACACTTTAACAAGACTGAAAAAGAACATTCAACAAAAGATGCATAGTGGTTGGTTTTGTTTAACCAAAGTACGATAACAGGCAACGTACCAAAAGCAAATTGTTTTTAGTTTTCAAGTAAACAACCACACACACACACATTCCCACAAACAAACCCACACATGGGTAGAACATGCATGCAGTGGGGAAATATGTGTAACATCAATTGGGTGTAAAGGAATATATGACAAGATGAGACAAGAGTTCCATGACTTTAACTGACAACACAGCAAAAGCATGTAAGACTTTGGACACAGCTTATAGTAAAACTGATGAATAAACCACATCAAAATGTGCTAAACATTTAAATACAATTAAAAAAACAAGTACAAAAAATAAATAAGCTGAATATCTTTTTAAGGAACACTAAATGTACAAACAATATGATATAAAAGAGCATCAACACTCAGATTCACACACACCACCCACAAGGTGAACACCAAGCATTTTAGCTCTATGCCAACTTTTTGTACTGTGCAGCTGTTACCTGCTCTAGAGCAGTGGTTCTCAACCTTTTTGAGTTGCGACCCCAAATTTAACATGCACTGCCGTCCATGACCCCCGTTCCAATGCCTGATCAATATACTTATAGGTAACATTTACATAACCACACAAGCACTGAACTCACCTCAGCTATAAGTCTCTTTATCATCTTATTTTGAAACTAACTTGGATTCTTTGAAAACAAAGCAGTATCAATGTCGCTACATCACATGATTTTGTGGTTGAAAAAGGTAAACAAAAAAAAACCTTTTAAATGAAATAAAACCATAACAGTGTGCTAAAGTAAAAACACAAGAAAATATCCCATGTTTAATTTTAAATGTCTTTGTTTCTGAGAACTTGAAAAATAACTTCCAGGTTAAAAGCAGAGTTGTTTTTTTGCAACTATTTAACATACTTTGTTTGAACAGAGCAGCTCTTTATTAGAAACGGCAGAGATCACTCAACCCTGAAGTGTCGCGATCTCTATGCGTTTATAGTTTTAGCCCAGGAAACGTCTTTTTGCATAAATGTTTGGATGCAAATGGAAACAGCACATCAGTTTGAGCTTTTAATAGTACTGCATACTGTTGCTAATGACAACCAGAACTCATGCAGCACAGATGCAGAGAACTAGCAATCTATAATGTGCAATGAGAGAACAGATCGAGCAGGGTATTCTGCAGCTCTGATGGCGTGGTGGTGAAATAAAGGCATATCCTTACTGAAACTTTCAACAAGGCTCCGGAGGTGAGAGGCTATAATTCTTTTTATAGCTTAAATGGTTATGCCATACCTCTCCATAAAGACCTCAATCTCTGAGCATTAACTATTTCCCCCCCATCCATTCAAAGAGCCCACCGCTCCAGCTTTCTCTTAAATGCTGGGAAGGTACTGGACAGGTTTGTTGCTGTTGTTTTGGTGAAGCCAAGTTACGGCCGACAGGAACTAGTTTTGAATAATATATTGCCTGTTTGAGACAAACTGCTCACCATCTTTCTAATATCTGGTCAGAAGCTACATTAATTTTACACATTTATATTCTTCCAAAAGGATTTGGAGACCCCCAGAAATCATGTCACAAACCCAATTGTGGTTGTGATCCCAAGGTTGAGAATGTCTGCTCTAAAGCATTTTGTGTATTAAAAGTAACATTTCAGCAATTTCCAAATGAAAACAGTATTTTAGCTGCTAACACCCGTTATCTTAGTGTGAGTGGTGTCTATATAGGTGTCTATATATGTGCTCTGATAAAACTAACCTGATGCTGGTTATAAAACTCTACTGAACAGCAAGTAGGATTTAGTATGACTCATGAATAATTCAACAAGACTAATTAATGGAGGAACTAGTTTAAGGCCACCCTCTGCACATCATCTTAAGAAAGGGAAGGGTGGCTGCAGAGATGCTCTCTGAGCAGGCTGACACACACTTGTTTAACTCTGCAGGCAAAGATGACACCATGTTTAGCAAGAAGAGAGAGCTGCTGATCACATGACACTTCATCTCGTCGAATTTGTCTAACCAGTCATCATTTCAAATAAAAACAAAGCATCAATGACAAAGATGCTGAATACAATTAGGATAGAAGAAAATGTTTAATCTGCGATACCGTCATCAGCTAATTTAGCAATCAAACAAAATTTAACTATGTTAACAGTCTATGAAACACCCAATTTGCTAAGAGGGCATCCCACTACGAGCAGTTATTAGTACAACACTGTACATAAGTATATGTATATTTGTCATTGAGGATGAAAATCCTTCTCTGTAAATGTGATCTATCAAGAATTGCTCTAATGAGACAGTTTTACCTTCACCTGGTAAATAAATCTCCAATTAAGCAACTATGCCATGCTTATATTATTAATCAGTTATATTAAAAAAAGCAAAAAGATCAGTGGAATAATCCATTAGCAGAACAATCATAGTCACAGCCCTAAAATCTGATACTAGTAAACTGTTTTAGTCAGCATGGCAGCCATGGAAAATTGTATATTGCATGTACCGTCTAGCTCATGTTGCCATAGGTTACCACTGTGACCTTTAAAGAATCCTACATCAGGGTAGTACTTTATAGGTGTGTTATTAGACCTTAATTACACCCATGGGAAATCAATACAATGGATGAGATCAATATATTGGATGTGGATTAAAAGAAGAACATCTTAAAAGATTTTGTGGAGAAAAAACATATTCAGGTATTCTCAACAAATGATCATAATAGGAGTGAGACAAAAGACAATATCTTACACTGTAAGAACCTGATTTTCCCCCTAAAGGTTGATTACAATTTATGTCTTAACTTAACCTTAGGAATGGAGCAAGAGACAATGGGCTGATTAAAGCCACTATGCTACATGATGCTGCTATGAAGTAACAAACCCTAACCCAAACAGAAAAAGAACATCTAAAAAGAATTCCCGTATTTGTCAATATTTAATTTAACTAAAAATATTAATTCATTAGTGAGATTAGTCCACCTAAAAAAACAAAACAAAAAAACATTTACTTACGGAAGAAGAAAAAAAACAATTTTTTTCTATTACATTAGAGGTTATTAATGAAACTTCTGAGTCACGGTCAAATAAATGTGCAAATATATTCTCATACTTTTTTAGGTGAAATACCGAAAACAAACAACTAAATCAACCACAAAACAAAAAGATCACTGTGGAATTGATGCAGAAGATATGTTCCATTATGGTTGAAGGGTGGATGGGTGATTAGATCAACTTCCAGTGAAATTACAAAGCAGCCATGCATCCACGGTGCATTGTTAAAATAGCCATTTATCAGCCCGTTACGTCAAGCAAAGATAATAATCACCACACGTCACCAATGTCATCACCAAACCACTTTCAAAAAAAATGGGCATGGCAACACACTAGTGGGTCAGCAGCTCCCCAATACCTAAAGATCTGCCTCCTCTTTTGAGAGCTAGAGCAGTAGCCCTCAGTGGGAAATCTGTTGGGGTTAACATTAGAAGAAAACGCTCAGGTTACAGATCTGAATAGGACAAGGAAAGGGCCTGAATAAAAAGAAAGGTGGGAGGTAGAAGTAGGGACAGTTAAAAGGGATACAGAACAAAGGGGGTAGCGAAAAATGCGCACAAGGCAGAAATTTAACTCGAAAGAAGCCCATGCTGCTTCTATGTCTCCCTCTCAGCAAATTTCGCTCTCATCTAACAAGCTTAATGTAAAGTGTGTGCTGGGATGGACCCTGACTGCTGTGTGACTGAACTCTGTAGTAAAGACTGCGGAAAGTTCAGGATAAAACTGATAAAAACTGAAAACCATAAGAGTCATGATAAATTTAGCAATATGATCTCAGTACAAATTTGAAACTTATGGTATAATACTGGATACCAGTGTTGATTTGGATTTATATTGATCGTCATTACAAAATAAATAAATATATGTACAATGTCTGAGTAGCGATGTCTTCGGATCCTTTCTACATAACTGAAACTTAAACAAGTACTATACATTATTAAAGAGGTGAAAACAACTGCTATAATAAACACACAAAAGTATCCAAAAAAAAATCATCAATTTACCTGTTATCATTGATGTATCCATTTTGAGACGACTGCAAAAAAAAGGACACCTGCACATTATGAAATGTATAATTCTATTAGTAACATATTCCCAACATCATTTTAGCTTGTTAACATTTCAAATCCTTCTACTAAATGGATGCAAGTACAGCTTAACATCTGGTCTTTTCAGATCTAAAGCTTCAAGCAACAAAAAACAAGATCCATTACCTTCCTAAACTACTGCCTGGAATACGATCCTTCTCAATATAACTCATTAAGAATATCAAATATTTTAGGCAAGACATATAGGTGACATAATGCTGGTAATAATGCCAAAAAACAGACTTTGGTCCTGGTTTAGCTCTGCAATAGTTCTGTTGGAGCTTCCCCAAACCTGAAGTTCACTACCCCTTAAATGACAAATATAAATATTTGTAGGCACTGGATGATTTCAACTGACTAGATTAAAGGTAAAACATTTTTTATATTTGCCATTAAAATAAGTTACCGGTATATAAGTTTATCAAAAAAAAAAGTCATCATAAATGATGATTAAAATAAGATTTTCAATGCTTAATTTTTCCTTTTAAAATATTCTAACATACGTTTCCAGTTTAATCAAACTAAAAGCATACTTTCTATCTTGTTATACCTGTGGGAATAATCTCTACTAAAATAACATCCTACAAACTGTATCACAGTTTATTTTATTCTGTCAATCTGAAAGTAAAGGATTCTACTTTCTGCAAGGATGTAATTCTGGAATTATGAATGAAAGCAAATGCAGTGTACGGTCCTTACACTCATTGTCTAATTTTACTTTTAAGAAATAAAATGTTTACAGACTGAGGTTGAGGCATCTAGAGCAGGTTTAATTGCTGGATGACTAAAAACCAGCAGCATAGAACTTGTTGCAAAGGTGAAATAAAGCGGAGTTTTAAAAGTTCACAAAAGTAGGCTTGGAAATCGATGGTCTACACAAACAAAAAACTATTTTGATTTGGCCGTTATTTACTAGGAAGTCCCTTACTAAAATATTGTTTTCAGGTAGACCAGTCCAAGCGACACCTCCTGTCAGCTGTCATCTATAGTATAATTTCTGTGCCACCGAACTAAGTGTGCAGTTACCACAGTGAGAACGATGTGCCGCGTTCAAAACTACAAACCCTCACTCAAAATCTGTCTGCTGACGCTCAACGCTGACTAAGTGGACTGAACAACGCATCAGTGTGCACTTGACTTCATCTCTGCGCTCATTCAGCTCCAGTTTTTATTTTCCTGAGCAACGAGCCTAAACTACGTGTGATAAATGTTTTCGTCTTGTTGCCAGGATTTCTTTCTACCAGCTGTTATGAGCGGATACAACACTTTCTTTGGTTTTGAACCAATAAATGCTTATATTATATTTTTTTTTTATTTTACTGCAGATGTTTTGACATGGATCAGCATAAGAAGAGACATTCTTTGTCTTAAGTCTAACCAGGGATTAACAAAATAATAAAATGCTGAAAATAAGAAAACATTTTCCACATGTCATTTAGGCCAGCTGCTCAGGAAAAAAACTTCTCTAACTATATTAAAATATATATTAATAAAGTACATTTAAGTGTTAATTTAATTACATTCCAATGTTTTGTTTTTTCTTACATCCTCCAGCTTGGCTTTGTAATTCCTGCTGGTGTGCAGTATTTTGAGTATTTGCTTAGAATAAAAAAAGGGCTGTCTTTGATTTGTTGGCACTGTGGTTTATTTACAAACAGTATTAAAAATCATGAGTGTAGAAATGAACCTGAGCGTGTAAGAAGTAGAGCGCATGGCAGATAGGTTTTGAGCGAGGGTGTGTTAGTTTAAAAGTTGCACATCATTTTACTGCACGCTCAGTTCAGTGGCACAAAAATAAAGCCAAACTATATTTTGCATTAAGATCTATTACAAATATTTATCCATTATGTTCTCCCACCACAAATTTTTTAAAATACTTTTTTAGATTGGTAAACTAATAAAAAAAAATATTTAAAAAATCCTATCATCTGATGATGTTAAGTCTATATTTACAGCTTAGTAATAAGGTAGTTGAGAGCTACATACTCATCATCTTAACCAGTGAGTATTGCAACGTCAACATTAAATACTTACTTCTCGGGCAAAGATCCTGTCTCGTACCCGCTGATATTCTTCCTCTCTCTCTTCAATAGATTTGCTACGCCTCCCGTCCTGCAGTGGCACACGGATCTAGAAATTGAAAGAAAAAAAATCTAACATTCCAAAAAGCTAAATGCAGGGCTAAACTTTCCAATACTGGGAAATCATGCACATGTTAAAAAAAAGAAAAACATCAAGAATGAATTGTGAATCAAAAGTAATAACTGAAATACATACAATAATGATTAAAAACAAACTCATACAAAAATATATTTCTCTTCAAGACAGCCAACAGTCCCAAAGCTATTTACCCTTACGTCAAGTAATGTATTTTTTTATTTTCAAAGCAAAGGAAAGATGCAGCAGTTGTTACTTTCAAAGTGGAAAAAGTAAATAAAACATCCTCCGATTTCCAAACTTACCAGCAAGATCATTTTTAAAAACATAGAAGATGATGCAAGTGTGACTTGTAGAGAGGAGCAGGGTGAGCAAACCACAAAATCCTACTCAGATTTGCAAAAACTACTGTCATAAAAAATAACAGCTCTAATAAAGATGTAAGCCTTCTCCTTTGCATTACTGAAATTGTATCTATCCACCTTAAAAATAGATCTAATTCATACAAAGTCCTAAATTTTGGCAAGTTAGAGCTCAGATTATATATTTAAGAATCTGTGTTGTTGTTTTTTTAATAGTCACACTAATAAGAGTTTGCTGTACAACAATTTAATGATAATTTGACATTTTAGTACAACTGAAAAAGCAATATGTCTGTGACCCTACATGTATGTTAAAGCAGCCATAACAGAATTTAAGTGAAAAAATAAATTAAAAAAGAACCTCTCTAAAGTTTACATTCAATGCAGGTCACTTTAGTGGCTCCATGGTTAATTACTAAAGCATGGAGATATTAAAGGGACAAATGATTACGGTGCAATAGGTACAGAAATGCCAAACAGCATACCTGATTATCATCTTTGTCCATACTAGCATCATCTCTTTTAAGGATGAACTTCTTCTGGAAGTCCATGTTACGTTCATCCTTGATGTGTTCAGAAAACCGTTGTTCTGGGCTATAGAAGAAAATACCATTGAAATTATTCTTCAGAGGCTAAAAAAAAAGCATATAACTACATAACAGAGAAGGCAAATAATAAAGAACATAACAGCTTAAAAATGTAAAAGGCTTTTGAAGGGAAAATATGAATGTGACTTTATACTGCATATCTACACACTTTGCTTGTTGACTCACTTTTGCAATCATATTTCTCAATAGCTATCTTTACATGCACATATTTTCAAGATTGGAGTAAAATGTTTCAGACTAAATAAATAAATAAACATGATTGTTCCATTAATAATAAGCATAAAATGGCCCACTGGACCAAAAAGGACTCATGTAAACATGCCGATCTGAATATTCTGATAACAGCCAGTCAAAAGAATGAGCTATTCAAGGTGGAAATTCAGCAGATTGACGCAGCGAGCACATGTGCATCAGGTCAGCTCGCCATAGTCAAAACTTTATCCTGATAAGTGTTTGCATTCATGCCGATTGAACTGTCAATCGGCATAAATCGCTCCTCTTTAGTCAGATTACACTTTCATTTTGATTTGAATCTTATCAGGATTTATCAATATTTTCCGTTCTGAACATCTGTTTGATTTGCTTTGTTAAAGAGCAACTGATAAATATTGAATTGTTTGGCAGTTTAACTCTAAAACCCTTTTTCTTTGTATACAAGAAGTACGGTTGAGAATTTTTTTTTTCTAAAATAAAAGAATGCAGCAGATATTTTTAAAAGAAAAGGTCCTTGTTGATAAACAGTTGCAATTAATTGCCCTCTCATCTCCAAACTAACATGTCCATGGGGAATTGTTGCATATTGCTGCTTCCTCTATTGTACATATCCAGGTCAGAGTTTGAGTCCTTTGTTTTTTTTTTAGGTTGTAACTTAAGTTTTTTTTTCCCAATGTTCTTACATGAGCCTCAGTCAAGCGCCTTTCTTAACATAAACTTAAAGCATTTTATTCCCTGTGTGTGGTGATTTGGATAACCAGCCATGTCATCTTCCATAATGTCACCTTTTTTAACTGAGCAGAAATGACTTAAGTTTATCCGTTGTTATATTCTTGCTAAAACTCTACATTTTAGACCAATTCATCTATAGATGAATAATACATTTTGAACACACTCACATGCGCGTGTTGCCCGTCTTATTGATTATGACGGCCTTTCCAGTCTGATCCACATTGTGATCCATGCCGAAATAGGCGGCCACACGGTGCAACAGCATTCGATGATACGAAGTCATCTGGGGAAACTTCTTGTACTGGTTACTGAAGGTGGACAAAGACGTAATAAAGGAATTAAACAAATCCTTAATAAGTACCCAACAATATTTCATTCATGAGCTCTTCTGTTAAGTATTTTTTGCAGAGTATTGGAAATGTATAAACAGAGGCAATAAGTCAGGTTTATAACTATAATTAGGGCAACACAGCATTAACAAAGCATATAAATGGTTAAACTGTTGATTGCTGATAACCATATAAGTAACAAATAACCTACATTTCTGTCTTTCACAATATCAGGTTCTTCCAATCAATCTCTGCAAGTTGCATTATCTCAGTCTTTAAAATTTATATCAAATGTGGGTTTAAAAAGACATAGAAAGACATTCAAACTGGCTAGAAATATTGTTGGCATGATAGTATGGTACCCAAAACAGTAGATTCCATGCAGCACATTCAAGTGTAATAATGCATATATTAATACTGTCATGAAATTAACTTTACTGAGTAGCTCTAAAGTACTACAGTTAATATTAGCACATAATGAGGATTCTGCAAATAATGGGTTAATCAAGTTTAAACTTACTCTTATGAAAACATCAAAATAGATTGAGGCATTGTTGTTGTTGTGTATTAATACAAATCTCAATATATTATGAATACATTTAAAAATTGTTTTATAATTGCCAGACTTACTTGTTGTCATTAATGAACTCCAGGATATCTTGTTCTAGTTTAAGCAGCATCATTCGATCCCTAGAAGGTCACAGGAAGAGACTGCGCTAAGTCCTTGATTTATAAAGTAGCAAACTTACCATCTTAGTTTGAGAAGTTATTCAAATAAAAACTAATTTCTATATCAGGACTATATATATATATTCACATGCATTTTAAATGTATTAACCTAATGATCAAAAGTCTACATGAGGACAAACTGAACAGAAACATGCAATAGTGTTTAGTAGTGATCATACCTGGGATTGTTTTTCAGTGTGTTGACCAAAAACTCATGTACATCAATGCCTGTGGAGTCGGTGTATTCCTGACTGGAATCTGCCACAGAAAAACAAATTTGAATGAATACCATTTCATTAAAAAAAAAAAATCTAACAAAAACATTAAAAGAAAAACAGCCAGGTCCAGTGTGAAGCCTGAACCTATGGTTTATCCCATCTTCTCTAATGACATCCCAGGCTGCTGAAAAAGAAATAGCCATTTCATGTCTTAGTAAGTAGACTGATGCAGGCAGTGTATGATGATTGCACATCTAAACACCCTCTAGAGGGCAACATTACTGCTACACTACACTGATACACAGGTGAGCCATTTCATCTCTGCTTCCTTCAAAATAATGACCTGACTGAGTAATCCTGCAATAATTTTAGGTCTGATTTTACCATTATGGTTGTATTTTTGACTCTGCTTTAAAAATCCAACTTGGCACCAATCAGGAGAATCACTTATCAGACACTACAGGGCCGGTCTATAAAGGCCAACAACTTATCCTGGTGTTGTTAGACCATCCTTAAAAAAAATAGAAAGAGGTAGTTTTGTCACTGATCTGCCTAAAAAAAATGTTAAACTACAAAAAAAATTAACCATGAAGAAAATTGTGATTAGAAATTGAAAAATGTCCGTACTGCAACTTTAAATGTCCACTTTCCAGGTAATGTGAAAGACTGAAGCACATACACCTGCACAGACTGCAAACTCTTCTGCTGAACCCATATATGCAACTTTGTACTCAGTTCTGAAAGCAGTGATACAAACTTTGTTCTAAACCCAGTGTTGAACATGGTGGAATTGATCATATATAAACATTTAAGCCCAATGTTGGCCATTTAACCATTTTCTCAATATATCCAAAAATGTATAGTTATTGTAATGACAGCCTGCGCGATCTGTATACTGAATAAAAACAAAAAATAGTTGGTTCCATGGCTTTTTTGTTTTACGTCACTGTTTGGTCAACTACACTGAAGATTGAAGTGTACATAATGAGTATTCAAATGGAGCACACCAATGGATCTCTTCAGATTTGATGCCTAACCTCTTCATAGATAAGGGTAGTTATTAAACAGTAGAAAGAGACACAATAGCTGTGTCTTTTACTTTAGAGATATGCCTATTTCTTTTCCATGAGACGTCTAATGCACATCTTTGAGTGCGGTGCAGTGAGCAGCTTTGAGTAACAGCTTGAAGTTATAAGTAAAACAGAACTCATCCTTTGGAGCAGTTTATAGCATAGGTCAGGAATCACCAATTAAAAATCACTGGTGTTCGAGTAAAGAAAATCATCAACCAGTAAAGGTCCAGAGACATTTTTAACTATAATCTGTTACTTTAAACAGAATTTAACACTGAAATAGTAATTTATAGATGTTTGAAATCAGGTTGGGTCCGGATTAGCGAGCAGGTGGGTCTGGATACGGACCGCGGTCCGCTACTCCATGACCTCTAGTATAGGGCAACAGTCCAACAGTGTCTGGGTAAAATTGTATTGCAATTAAGTAAACATCAAAACAGAACAAATGCATGAGGCTGTGGCAGGTTGCTCGTCTAAAGACATGATGCCCACGAAGTCAGGCAGAGTTGGCTCAATCAAGTTGTGGAGGATGAAACTAATTCTTTAACAGAACCATTAAGGAACAGGCTCTAGCACTGACAGCTCTGGTCAAGCACTGGACATGCTTATATGAAAAAAGGATGCCAATTGAAATCCCTATTTTCTCTTTACATTTCTCCCCACACAGTCATGCTGCAGGCAATCTAAAGATGACCTTTACAAATGCTCTACAATGCAGCTTTTACACCATGTCGCATGAAAGTGCTATAATGTATTGCCCTACATGTGGTGGAATACTTTAGACAGATGTGGGTAATCCTATTTTTCATTAATTCAAAGGTGTGTTCGTACATAAATGTTTAACTGAGACCCGTTTCTAAATGCTGCAACCCAGGTCTAAAAGTAAAGCATCATTTGAAGAAGAGTTACCAATAGGGCTGGGTAAAAAAAAAATCTATTTTGAATCGATTACTTTACATTTTTGCAAAATCGATGTCTAGGGAATGAGATCGATTCATTTTATAGTGACCGGCATGATGTTCACATTCAAATAAGCAGGAAAGATGCACTCAAGAGTACTTCGAGCCAGACAGCTGCAAATATACCCAATAGGTTGACTGAAGACATTAACAAATGGGGGGGGGTGACCAGAAAAAACCCTGTAGTTGTTACAGACAATGCTGCAAATATGGTTTGTGCGGTGGAGATAATGCAGCTCATGAATGTCTGCTGTGTCTTGTCTGCTTGCTCGAGTGACGCTTCACTTTTTCCCTTTTCACAAACAAGTTTGCACTTTTGAGACAGTTTTGTTCACATCTCATGTTTCAACTGTCTGATTTACAAGTTTGCACTTTGTGTTTAATGTGACAGGAAAAAACCAAATACATGAGTATTTTGAAACACAGTTGAACCACTTTCATTATTGTAAAAACAGATCGAAACGAAATTAATCGATTTAGAACCGTATTAATCAAAATCGAATCGATTCAGGACTTTGGCGAAAATACCCAGCCCTAGTTACCAACGATATCTGATGAGACATCCACATTACAAAAGATCCTAAAAGCTAAGGGAATTACTGCATAATAATATTACACCCAGCGTACAGCTGCATCTTACCACGTGACAGCATCTTTCGAGGAGTCTTGTCCTTCTTCTCTTTTTCCTCGTTTTCATACTCGTCCTTTGAAGACTTTTCCTCCTCCTTGTCAGATGGGCAGCTGATGTGAAGCTGGATGATTTCCTATTGAAAAAAAAAAAAGAACCTATTTAGATAATTATTACTTGTTATTATTGCAAAACAATTCAGAAGATGTGTAACCTGGGATGTTTAAGATTGTGAATTGGGTTTATGCTGAGAAAACAAATGTACCGATTCTGGGGGTCCATCGTTGGGGAACGGTCCAGACGACTCCTCGCATACTGCCAAACTCCGTACTAATTTCATTTTGGCATTAGACTGAAACAGATAGGAAGGTTGCACTTTTCTATGATTTTTGTATTTATGGAAATAACAATTTAATTTAAAAATTATAAAAAACTTAAGTTTTTTTTGCCAATTAGTTTACAAGTAGACATAAGAAAAGTGAGTTATGAAACTTTGTACTCAAAACATTAACTGAACAGAAAAATATTCTAAAATAAGATTCTGTCATTGCTAGGTCATATAAATTAACAGCACGTATAAAACTGTTTGGATTCATTTGTAATTAATTGGAACCATCTAGTTTAAAGAAAACTCCCATAAAGGTCTTATCAGACGTATTACCTGGGTTATAGCTATGCATTAGTCACTGTAGAAATAGGTGTGCTCTGCCATTTCTCTTTATTTCTTGAAACCGTTCTTAGTTCGATCACTGGGTCAAAGTGCAAATCCAGAGCCTCACTAAGTTCAATAACACATCTACTCTTTACCTTCTTATCAGCTTTAGGACTTAGTGAGTCAATGATCAAATCCAGACAATTGTAGAGGATTACTAAGTTAGAGGGTGGGAAAGATGTTCATATTCACTTACCTTGGCCCTTTTCCTACCATGGCTGTGGTTAGTAGCTCTCTTCTGCTATTAAAGCAAAAAAAAAAAAAAAAGAATGACATTTGGTGCTATTTAAATGTTCATAATAACTAATGAATTATAAGGAGCTATACAGTTGTACAGTTTAAAATACATTCCTTTTGCTGCATCTACAAAAACTGTTAAACATTTAAATGTCATGCTAATGCATTTGAATGTTCTCAAGTCTTTAGATGCCACAACCGTGTTATCGATTATACATTATGCAACACTAAGTAAATTTGATAGCAAACATTGATTATAGTATATCAAATATTATTGTATAAAATTGTAAAATATATACAACAAATGAAAACACTGATTGGACATAAGCAGCATGAATCTTTTTGTTAAACCAATGCCTGTGTATTGTTAAACTGTGGAGCACCATAATGAGAGAGATTCCACCCCCACTGTTTAAGGTTGGTTTTTCAGTTTTTCAGTTTTCAAAAACCTACAATGCAGCAATTGAGTTTATTCCTTCCTACTATCATCGCAACCCCCCCTTACAGTGGAACAGAAGACCTCTCCTGTTCAGTCAGGCCAACAATTCCCTTTAACAACCCCCCTTTCACAGACATAGACAGGTATGGGATATTGCAGGCTCACAAAGAAGCCAAATGACCCCCATTCCAAAGGGACATACCTGTTTGTCCAGTTCAATTTGCATGTTTTCTAAGCCAAAACAAGGCTTTGTTTTTAGTCCACTTTATAAATCATTGAACTCAATTAACTCTAATTTTAACATTTGGAATTGAAAAAGCTTCCTGGATAGGAAGCGAAACGTCTTCAAACTTGGAAACAAAGTCCAGTGGATTTTTTTTTTATTTTTATTTTTTTTATTACTTTTAATGACTGAGAATCTTCACTTGCAACTTCACTTTCTTCTACCTGTGCATCCTGTGAAGAGTTATCATCTGGCTCTGGGGCTTCTCCTGTCCCATCCTTGGTACCCTGTGGTTGAGGAGAGCTTTTTCCTCGACTGCAGGGCTCGATTTGTAGCCCACTCTCTCCCTCCGGCTGGATGTCCGTTGTCAGGCTCAGTGACATCTTCTTGGGGGAGGGGAGAGGGTGGGAGTGGGGAGGGGGTTAGGTGGAGGACCCAGAAGTGGCTGTAAAGTAAAAAAAAATAATGACTTGACAGCATGACTGTAGTTTTATTTTTTTTTTAACTGTACCTTAACACAAAGACACTCATCCTTGGAAGTAGCTACCTGTTAGAGGGACAGGTCTATGCTGAACTCTTTACAGTGAGTGTGGATAAGAACCACACAGGGGGAGATGAGGGGAATCCACTAAGGTAGTGTGCTAGGCTGTGCTGCTGCAGGGGGGAAAGCGCATTCCATAGCAGGTCTTGGCCTTTAGGTAAAGGCTGTCGGGAAACAAAAACAAAAAGTTAATGGACGATAGGAAAGGAACAGCAACTGAAGTTTTTAAATACATAATTCACTGAAAATTATGATTTATTTTTCAGGATACTAAGGAGGCAGTGGCAACATTACAGTGGTAGAAATTAAAAAAAAAAAAAAACTGCAAAAAGGCATCTAAAAGAACTTGCTTGTTGAACTTGTAGTCTTTTTACACCATCGCATCTTAAAACTTTTACTTTTTGCATACTTTGCATTTGCCACAGGCAAATAAGAAGAAATGTATTTGCCATTTGTACAATCAGAGAAAAAAAATGCCAACTTTCCACAGTTGACATAGATAACCTAATACTATTAGACTTTTTAAATCAAATATTCTACAAACCTCAAGAGGATTTATTTTTCTTCCCACTAACAACTTTGACATTTCAGAAAGATATTTGATGATAACCTGGCAGTAGCAAGATTGAAAAGTGTAGACATCTTTCCCATCTACAAATGCACAAAGTGCTTCATTTTGCTCCTTTTTTAAATGAGACATTATCGCTATTTTAACTTAAACCCAGTGATTTGCAGTGTTGAAAGGTGATTCCTCCAGCGTAGCAATGATTGTAATGCTCTGGTAAGGCCCTTCTGACTGTTGTCATTCCTAAATGTCCCACCCCAAAAACCACTGCTGGCATGTCACTGGTCCGACCCACTCGTGGTTACGAGACAGACGTATTAGCGGGAGTCTTTTAAGATGGATTTAATGTGAGACTGAAAACTCAGATCTCACCACAATGCAGCTTGCAGCACAAGGTTAGTTTAATGAGGGCCTGATTCAACAATCTATTAAAAAAGAAACAAAAACTACTAAAGAGCAATTTTCAGAAAAAAGGCACATATCTGCTGCTAAAGAAATCCAGTTGAACAATAACAACAATAATACATATATATATATATATATTGAAAAAAGTTAAACATATTTACAGTAAATGGATGAACTGAAGAGGAAGCCAGTCAGAGAGTGAGGTGGGGGGACACCAATAGACCGGTCACCACCTTTAGAGGTCGTCTGGGGCCGCTTGTCTCTGCTTTCCAATTACTGCAGAAGCATGGTCTTGCCTACAGTCTGGAGCCCTGGGCACCATGAACAGAAAAGGAAGACACGAATGACGTCATGTTTCACACACTGCGTGACTCATCGCTGCTGCTGCTACTGCTGCTGCTGCTGCTGCTGCTGCCATTTCTGGCAGGGAGGAGGACAGAGCAGCTGAGAGCTAAGTCACACTGGGAATGGGTTTTAAAACGAGCACAAACATTCACTTTGACTTTAAAGCCTGAAAACATCTTTTTAGAAAATCTAAATCAATTTCAACCTGAGCTTCTGAACATCTCATTGCTCTTCTACTATTCACAAAAAGTATTTGACATGAACTGGAGCAAAAAACTATGAAATTAGACGAGCATTAAACAGCTTATCCTAAGACCCTCATTACCATCATTTTATAGCTGTTTTTTTTTTTTTTTATTAATAGTAACGGCTACAAAAAAAGAATAAATTTAGATTTTCTGTTTTTAACCCCCACCTATTGAGTCAAAAAACAAAAAATGCTACACAAATTAGCCCCAAACAAGATATATAATCTTTTTTAAGTCAGTAAATGCCAAGAATGGGTTTAAGAGCAAAAGTTATGAGTTGTGTATGAAATTACGCAATACTTAATGTAAAAAACTTCAAGGAAGCAGATGTTTAGGTATATGTTTAATGAATATGATGGTATGAATAAACAAAGCATGGCAAAGTTACTTTTTTTTGCAACCCTACGCTCTTCTAGTAAGGGAACCGATGAGGTAGGGATTTCCAATGTGGGAAAGACCAAGGTGATGCAGCACCAAAGCGTCCTTATCAACAACATCAGCAGCAACACTAGATTATTGACAATGACAACCAAATTCTCCAATATCAGCAGCACAAGAAAAAAAAAACAAAAAAAAACAGCCACTCTGTAATGTAGATCCGAGTCAATCATTCCAGAAATAGCCCTCTGTGTGTTCTGGGGAGAAAAGGGTTTCTAAACAACAAAGCAGTAACAATTATTCCTTTTGAATGTCAGTCGCAAATCTCATAGCTGAGCGATCTGCCCTGACTTAATAATGAAAGAGAGGAAGCAGAGGAAACTGTAGATCACAATCTTTAACAAGAGGCTTATGAATAAACCAGCTTCTCATACCAGTCCTCTTATGTTTACACAGCTCTGTCATCAACACTGCATGGCTTCATTCAACACACAGACTGGATGCAACCTACTGCGTTACCAAGGAGATGATAACGTCATTGCTAACTGCTGCCATTTGATTTGAGTGAGTAAAATAAGAATGAATGGAGGACCCATCAACACATGCAGTGATGGCTGTGTGCACTGACTATATAGTTAATGCAAAGACAGACAGGATTGCAGCCACCAGCTAGCTAGGCTTTGTTCTGACAAATAACTTCTAATCAGTACAAATCATTTGATGACTGTCCCTTTCTGAAATATAAATGCATTTCAAGACACCTTTATAAATGCTTATTCAATTTTAAACAATTTGCACACAAAAAAACTGCTAAAATCTGGCTTTTGTTTAGTTGCAGTGAAAATTTGTTTAATCCTCATTCATTACAAATAAAAAAACTCTTCTCTATATAACTTTCTATTTTTTATGCAATAAACCATCTTTGGCCTTTAGTGGAATTAGTGGAATGCAAAGCTGGTGTCCCCTGTGTGTTGTGCACATTGAATGCATACGGTGCCAGCTAGGGCACAAACTCAAAATTATATTTCCTGTGGTTTAGAAGAAAACATAAGAAGTCTACACTCATGCAGGGCTGGACAATGTTATAAATATATATTTATTGTGTTGTACTTTATGCAACATGTAAGATGACAGTTTCTCTGTGAAAATTCATTCAGAAAAAAATATCCTGGTATAACTATGGATTATTTAACCAATTTTCTGCTTGTGTCCTTTTTAATCTAAACTTCAAACTTTAGCCTGCATTTATCCAGTTATTTCTCAAACAGAATGTGGCAATGGTTTTAAAGATTGGTCCTTTAGGGTTTAAATATTTGTCTTGTTTAACATTATTACAGTGATGGAGAACAGATTTTAAATAATAGCATACATCGTGTAAGGCAATGAATCCAAAATAAAATGCTACACATATTTTTGGCCATGGTGCCAAAAACAGTCTCCCCGGTTTCTTTCATAATGTGATATACCGTATACTGTAAATCTGACAGCAACATTAGGAGCAGTAGCCCCACATTCTGCTAATGTATATATAATGCATTTAAAGGCATATTGACAAAAATGCCTTTATAGAAAGGGGAATTTTAAAGGGTATATACTTTGGTATCAAAAATGTGAGGACCCCAATGGTCAACTCACCAACAGACAAATCTGGTGTTTTAATCAGAGATGTACCAGCACACGTTTTCTGCAGATCCCGATACTTTTCTGATACCAGTCCCTTCTTTGCTTTAATGTTATCATAACTGGTATTTGTAAGAGGCTGTAATTAACTCCTCTCCACAAGGAAGTATGACATGAATTAATCTAACTTGAGATTATGATGAAGGTCAGATAGGGACGCCTTTAAAAACAGTAAATTGTCTTAACAGAACAGATACCATTCACTGTCATTAATGCTCTCAGGCTTCAGACTATCTATAAAAAAAACCTCTCTGACATCTCTTACAGTAAGAAGTGATGCAGAGTTCTACAAATGTCAAAACTAAATTTCATGGTTTATTTTGACTCTGATTTCCTTTCATTACCCCCAAAACACATTTATAAAAGTTCAATAGACTGCCTTACTTTGAAAACAGCTTTAATTAAAATAACTGCTTTAAAAAGAGTTTAGCTTGCAAAAAGCCTACTTCATCATGTATTTATTTGTTGTCCAATATCACTAAAATAAAATCGGACAAATAAGCACCTCAGTGGACACCTGATATGACCTTGTTTGCTTCCATGTGCTTTCTTTTGACAGGTAAACAGATAAAGCCCAGAGGTTGCACACTGTGGTCGCTTTACTGCATCAAGGGTCCTTACAATGGCAACACTCCTCCTTTGCATCCGGTTACCACAATAAAATTTAAAGTGCCCCCGAGTTGAAATGCGATGACAGAAAGGGTAATGACAGCGGTCAACAGTGTGTGACGTAAGCAGATCCATCGAGTCGGGTTGTGGGAGAAGCAAAACAAAGCATCTCACAAGGTGTTTTCTCACATCCAACTGCCAAGGTGAAACTACGACAACATCTTAAAAGTAGCCAGTACTTAGAGAAAAAAATTGTTTCAGGGGGACATATTTATCTAGTCTAGTCTAAATATTCTCAATCCAAGACATTGGATCCACTAAAAATATCAAAAAAACATAATAAAAATTACTAGGCAGAGCAGGAAAATATAGCAGCTTGTTTTATTTTTCATCTAGCCACGTTCCTAATTTTATGCAGAAAATTTTGAATAAAGCAAAACATTATAAATGAAAACTACCGTTTATACTCACAGGCGGCACTTGATACCCAGCTCAACTCATATTTAATTCACCCAGCTATCTAAAGACTCTGAAGTGAAAAATCATGCAAAGCAAAAAATGCTTCCCTTTTTAGTTGGTGGAAACTGAATGAGAAATGAATGAAATGGTGAATGGAGGCGCGGAACAGGAGTGAGCATGCACGTACAAACCCACAGTAGGAAGTGGGAGACACACACAGGCACCTCGACCCAATTCAGCTTGTCTGTATTCAGCTGCGCACCTCGCCCTTTTGACGTCAGAGAGAACTCGTTTCACTCAAGGCAGTAAGGTTATGTCTTCACCGAGTGGAGGCTTGAATGTGTGTGTGGTGATGGGAGAATTTGTGCAAGCTCAGTGCCTGCACATATCATATATCAGCAGCCCTCACTGTGTTTGCGCACCACTGCTTGTCTGTGTCAGAGAGGATTCCCCTTTGCGTTGGTTGCAGTTTCACACAGGGCAGGGAGGAGGGGGCTGACAGAGGACTAGGGACTATAAAGGAAAAACCCAGGGACAACTGCAATTTGCCCTCATCTCTGCTTTACGTAATATTTAGCTAGATACATCAGCCATGACACCAATACCTTTTTTTTACATTTTTTATTTTTTTATCAATGAACGTTTTAAAAAGCAAATGCATCAATGGATATCTCAATGACACACAGTAGCTAGGCCATCAGCAATAAATACAAAGACAGACGAGGGGAATCACAAACTGTCAGGCGCACTGGAAGAAAAGGGTTCTCTTCTTTCATCTGTCTCTTTCCTTACTTCCACTTGCCACTCAATCTCGTCTCGGTCTCCTAGTTATGCAGATAACAAAATCCTACCCCACTGAACTGAAACATCTTAAAATCCATGCTAAAAGTTACCTTTCTATCTCTCTCTTTCGTCATCATTTGAAGTATTTTCTTAAATTGTCAGGCTTGCTGCTGACGCCATCCTCCTCCACTCAGCCAACCCACTCAGTCCTGTGGGACGAGCTATGAGTCATTCTTTCCTCATTCCCTTCTCTCCCTCCCTAGTTACCTACCAGCCTACCTTTCTATTGCACTTTTCTTCCGTTTTTCCTAATAATTATAAAGTAAGCAATGATATGTTTCTGTTCTGTGTAAAGGAGATTTGTGGAGATAAATTAGGAAGACGAGCAAAAAATATGAAGATGAGGCAGGTGGAGATGAATGTGTTAGCCACATAAACAACAACCATTAAAAAAAATCTCCATAAGTAATGCATTGTACAAAGGAAGAAGATCATGATCATAAATGCATTTTTGATGAGGAAATGAAAGAGAAAAGAAAGAGGGGGAGTGAAGGAAAACATATTGAGCTTTGTGCAAACCAAAATAAAAGCAGCAATAAAAACTGTGAATAAAAAAAAAACAAAGGCATGAACAAAGAAAAAGATGACGTACCTGAGATAGCTTACAGATGCGTTTTTATGTAATGCTACTGCAGTTTGTATTTCACAAAGACCGCTTGGAAGCATTATTCTTTAGGTTACAATATTTCAAGTGAAATGCATAAACCGTCTGAAAGCAAACAATATATCTGACCACTGAATGTTCTCCT